ATTTACCCAACTGCCTTTGAGGGGTTAAGAAAAGATAAGTAGATTTTCCCTACAGGACTTCTGTCAATTTCCAAGAGAGGCATCCGGTACACAATATTACACACCAAGAAATTCAGGTTCAGTAGGTTGTATGACTTGTCCAAGGTCATACAGGCAGTAAATGAGGACACCATTATTGAGACTCGGGTTTGACTAACTCGAAAGCCAATGCTCTTTCCATTACCTGCACTATTATGGAAAAGGTCAACATGTAATTGTAAGTGTGAGAAAGCAGGGTTTACAAACTACCTTCTGAAATGGATGGACAGATTTCACCTCTCTCTTTCCTTTTCATGCTTTCATATACTTGATAAAAACCCACTGCCACAGAGTTGGTTCTGACTCATAGCGACCCAGGACAAGGCAGAACTGCTCCATAGGATTTCCAAATCTTTACAGAGGCAGACTGCCACATCTTTCTCCCGCGGAGCAGCTGGTAGGTTCGAACCGCCCACCTTTCAGTTAGAAGCTGAACACTTAACAACTGCGCCACCAGGGCTCCGTATATACTTGATAGTGATTACAAAAATGATGAAAGGTGTACAATGAAGAATAAGTCTTCATAGTCCAGAACTAAATAACTGCCTCCCCTCACAAATATAAAAATGAGAAGTTGTCTATTTTTTAATGTGCATGCATGACAATGGTAGGGAGAGATGAGGTAACTCTTTTGTGATTGTTATTCTTCCAAAAATATGTCCTTAAGCTAACTTTGTTTTTAAAAAACAATTTAACTCTCAGTTGCCATTGGGATACCTAGACTGATCTCTCTATGCCCCTTTGAACAGGAAGCATCTATGGCATGAGGCTACAAGTCTTGAGTAAAAGAACAGAAGAGAGAAGAGGACATATGCCATTTAGCTGATAATAGCATAATTAGTACCTCCTCCAAATCATGCTTATGAGCTATGTAAGCACCTTATTTTGAAATTACATTTGCTATAACTGCCTCAAATAGTTCCTTTATTTACACTGTAGTAATAAGAAAAGCTAAAAAAAAAATTTAGATTCCTTTTACAGTTTAAGTTTTAGTAAGAGCTCTAAATTGCGTTTCATAATAAATATACCTATAACTGTGTCTATTTATACATTGTAGATGTAGTTGTAGATATGGATAATAATTATTCCCAGAAGGCTAAAAATGGGGTAATAAGATACTTAAAATATCACTGAAATAAAAAGGATAAAAGTAGTTACTGTAATTCGTGGCTCAGTTTATCATGTGTATTTTCCTCTTAAAAAAAAAAAAGTAGAACACAGTAAGCAATATTTAAAAAAAAAAAAAATTATACCACATAACGTACAAGGCCTGCCAGGCCTGGCTGGTCTGAGCCGCACCCACCTCTCCCTCCACTCTGGGCCTCATTCACTAGGACCTGCCTTCTCCCTGCTCATCTAATAACCGAGACTCATTTCTGCATTATGTTCCCTTTGCCTGGATCTTTGCTTGATTCAGCAGCCCTCATCACCCATGTCTCCGCTCATGTCACTTCCTCAGAGCGGCTTTACTTGACCACCACCCCCTGCCTGAAATAGCAGCCCCACCCTCCACCCCATCAGTCTCTACCCCTTTCCATGCTTTGTTGTCTTGAGAGCACTTATTAACATCTGCAATTACATGATTACTGTCTACCTTTCCTATTACACGAAGCTCTATGGTGGAAGGGATACTGTCATCTGGTTTGCCATTGTGCCCCTTATACAGGCCCAGAAGTGAGTGGCACAGAGTGGGCACCGAAATGTGTGAATAAATGTAGCACACGATGACTTTTTTCCTCTTCTCAGAATACATATAAAATTGGCAGCCTTCCCAGTAACCCAAAGTTTCATTCTCTTATATGGAGAACTGCTATGTTTGGAGCTGACTCGATGGTTAGCAAACTGAGGGCAAATAATATATTTTCTACTTACTTTGCACCCCAGGAATTACAGGACCTAGCATATTTTTTACAACATAAACAAAGCTTGCTAACTTGGCTAAACTTTCAATCTGCTGGTATCTGTCAGTAAAGGAACAAAATTGTACCATCACAATATATCAACTATTACTTCAACATGTAAAACTTCAGAAGGCCCATTGGGAAAAAGGAACAAAAATCTGTCAAGTGTAATACATTCTTTGACAAAATTAAACATTTGTTTTAAACAACAATATCTACTGACATGGTTCTAAGTAGTCTTATAACGGTTCTTTGTAACATAGTAGGCTAGCTATAAAATCAAAATAAAATCCAATATTGATTTTTACAACCTTATTTACATTATCAACTCACTACCACCATTAGCAAATAACCAATAAAGTCAAACAAAACATACTGTAATAGAGTATCTGTTCTACTCAAAATCTGAACAAGAAGTTACTGCTTCATATCATAAGAGAATTCCAGAGTATCTGCATTCATTCATTCAACAAATAAAACCAGAAAGTCAAGACAAGGCAAGGTGCTAGGCGCTGTGATTTGCCCGTTTTAGGCCCTATGCAAAATTTTCGTTTTATAGTGATTTTATAGCAATAGCTATAATAAGGATCACATTTAACAAACATCTGGCTAGGCTAGTGCCTAGCCAATTAAGACTTTTTAAAAGTGCAACAATTTAAAGCAAAGGGAGCCTTACCTGACAATTAGAGATTAAAAAGCTCCAGAAAATTTAGCAGTTTATTCTGAGGGAGAAAAAGTCTTTCAAAAACTAAGTTGCAGCATATAATGACCTTCAAATTACATAATATCTACCATATACACAGTACTGCAAGTTTTTCTTCTGTCAATAAAAACTATTTAACCATAGGTCTTATTCCAGCATCACATTATTTCTTCTTACTATTTCACAATCTTAGGAGTTCTTTAAAAGTTTTTATTTTATATTAAAAAGTTTACTATTTGCAACAACAGGGACATGGGTCACTCTCCCCTCCCACGCTTTCACTGGCAGCAAACAGGCTCCACCTTGTGCACCCATCCTATAGATGTCAAGCATTACTACAATCAAACAAAACTGCAAAATGCAAAAAAAAAGTTTATAGGCCCTTTTAACTTTTTTTGTTCTAAGGACCAGTCTAACCCAAATTGTTTGCCTGTGGTGGTGATGTGATGTTCCGCAACAGAATAAGTTTGTGGAATGCCAGGTGCCACGTTATCACAGAAATGCTGCAAGGGCCAAGAGACAGATGAGGGAATGATGATATGGCTGTCCCTAAAATGCCTGGTTCTGCAGAAAACTCCCAGCATACACAGGCTCACGGGCGTTGTGGGGGAGAGGGTCAACAGGACAACCAGGCTTACAGAACACCACTGTTCTATGGCAGCAGGTTAAACATCTCCTTCAATAACGGTATATTTAGGGAATCAGTACAAATCAGTAAGAAAGACTATGTTAGGCTTGAAGCATTTACCAAAAAAAAAAGTACATTGAAAACTGTGCTGTCTTAATTCTAGAGTCTTTTCTCTGACCCGTCAAAAGTTCCAAGAATACGAGACTACCACCGCCACTTCTCTATACAGTATTTTGTCAGACTTTGCTCCTGTCACTTAAGCAGTTCCAATCTAAATTATAAAAGAGTTGGGGAGGGGGGGACGGTCATAAAATAAACCCTAAAACAGAAGTATTAAATGCTTATAAGTACCTAAAACCCAAACCCATTGCCGTCAAGTCAATTCCAATTCATAGCAACCCTACAGGATAGAGCAGAACTGCCCCATAGGGTTTTCAAGGAGCGGCTGGTGGATTTGAACTGCTGACCTTTTGCTTAGCAGCCCAGCCAAGCTCTTAACCACTGTGCCACCAGGATTATCAATACTCAAACTATTTATAATTTCCAAATAAAGACACTACATTAGTCATGTTCAAAAACTTCGCAGTACCGAAGGATTTTGAAAGAAAAAAAAATCCACAGAAACACACAACAAATACATCATTTACTCTTGTCACTCTTCCTCTAGCTGATTTAGGGAAGGACACTGTCTCCGTTTGCATTAGCACCTGTCCTAGCAGGTTTTACAAGGTTGAAAACCAGGCTGCTGTAGTAGGCCAATGCCAATTCTAGTTGCATCCTTTAATCCGTCATTTTCGTTTTATTCTAAGACCATCATATGAAGTGAGCTTCCTTCAAACAGCAATTCTATTAGCTCTTTTGTAGGGTGAAATTTAATAAGATTTGTATTTAGGTCATGTCAATTCTTTATTAACATGTGGAAAATTCACCCTGATTTATAAACACATTAAATGACACAGGCCAGGTCTTGAGGATGTCAAATGCCTGTGCAAGGACAATACACTTGCTCTCAATAAATCCACGTGTATAACACAAACTGGTGTTTCTTGAGTGTTCACCAACACTCAAGCCACTGAACCAATAATAAAATCATACTTCATTTGTAGAGATGTCTGAAAGAAAAGTCTTAGGAAGTCCGAGAACACAAAGCCATAATCAAGTGGGAGAATAGCAACTTCAATACAGCACTTGTAAAGCTGAAGGAAATGGGGAATTTGGTCAAAGCCATTGTGCACTAAAGGGCCAGGCCATGGGTTCCTCATAATCCGAGGAAGGCCTCAGTCTGTAAAGTCCTACCCAAATAAACCACCTATGGTACCTAAAGGCCAAATTGCCCCGTGAGGTTTCCAGAAGACCCAGTTTTCAACTGCTTCGTCTACAAGCAAATCTAACCCACATTTTTAAACACGCATCCAAAGGCAACAAGTCAAAGTAAGCGTGTCATCTGCCTCAAAGCAAGTAGCCTAGGTCTAGCTGGACCTTTGAGCCCCGGAAGGCTGCTCCAGACGCAATGAGAGAGCTGATCCCCGCCCCTTTCCACCTGGAACCCTGCCCCGGAGGGGTCCACCCTGGGCCGCACCGGGTGGGCTGCCGGGCCTGGTGGCGTTCCAGGGTAGCGAGTACTTGCAGGCAGTGCCCTCCCCAACTTCCTCCGTATCCCCAGGACTGCCTGCCACCGCCTCCCACTTACTGTTGCTGGACTTGAGGTCCCGGTGCAGGATGGGCACGATGGCCTCCTCATGTAGGTAGAGCATGCCGCGCGCTATCTGCACCGCCCAGTTGACCAGGACGTGCGGGGGGATGCGGCGCGCGCGGCGCGGGCTGGGGGCGCGCGGGTCTGCGGCGGCGGCCAGGGCACGGTTGAGCGCTCCGCCGCGGGCGAACTCGAGCACTAGGCAGAGGTTGGGCTGCCGCAGGCAGACGCCGCGCAGCTGGATGATGTTGGGGTGCCGCAGCATGGAGAAGAGCTTCGCCTCGCGCCGCACGCTCTCGGCCGCCGCCGCCGCGTCCTGCTCCGGGTCTCGCCGCGCCGCCTTTACCGCCACCTCCTGTCCCTGCCAGGTGGCCCGGAACACCTGCCCGAAGCCGCCGGCGCCGATCAACTCCTTCAGCTCCAGCTGCTCGAACTCGATGTGCACCGGCGAG